CTTTGCTGTTTTAGGGAACTACTGCTGTGCCTAATTTAAAGGAACACTGCAGGTGCTGTCCCGACACCACAGTGGGCCAGGGCAGGTGTAGTGAGGGTGGCAGGCACCAGGGGGAGGAGGGTTGACGTGGGGCACATGCGCACAGGGAGAGTGGGAGTGGGTCTCAGCACCTGTGGGTCCTGCTCTTTGCCTCTTGCTGCACTTCCTTAGCTACAACACACAGGATTTTTGCCTGTTTTGTTTTTCATTTTTTCTTCCTGAGATTGAGGCATGGGCACCTGCTCCTGTCCTGCCAGTATACAAGAAGAGTAGCTAGATATCAGACTGTCCTTTGCGTTCTCCGCATAGTAAGAGGTCCATAGAAAGTATTTTGAGGTAAGTGGATTGAGGAAGTGTGCACACTGCACAAGAATCCTCTGGTTGTCATGGTTGGCTTCTGACTGCTCAGGTCCCTATATTGATATGATAAGGATATGGCAGGCTCTGAGGGGTGACTGAAGGGGCTCAGCAAGGCTGGGGAGCCGATGAGCTTTGCCAGCAGGGGATGGCTCGCCAGGCTCATTTATTACTGCCAGTATATTTATGGCTAAGTCCTTGCCAATGCCTTGAGCCTTTCCTTTAACTTTCCCCCTAGGTCTTTGGCAATCAAGGAGTTTTTTTCGAAGCCCAAATCTAATCATATCTTGAAGCCAGAAGATTGTCTCTCTGATCCATGCACCATATTGGAGCTGGACATGAGAACTGTGCAGATCTCCGACCTGGAGGTGAGCGGCCGACCTGTTGCTGTCATTAGATGGCTGCATGAGCCATGAATAGCAGACCTGCAGCAAGTGTGTGTGGTGGTCTGAGTGACGACTGCTTCACCAGTAAATGAGCTGTTATATTCCATTCGATACCATTTTTTTCCTTCTATTTTGGTTTTGTCATTTAGTTTTTTTATATTTATATTTAATCTCTTTACTATCTTCAGTTATTTTTATATTTAATGTTGTTGGTATCCTACGAACCATACAAATTATATTCCATTTATTGTAGTGTAGATGGAAGTTTTTGTCCTGCCTGGTTCTGCAGCTGTTCAGTCCCAAATAAACACACAGAGGTTTATGTTAATTATAAACTGTTTGGCCTATTGCTCAGGCTTATTACTAACTAGCTCTTGAATTAACTTGAATTAACCCATAATTCTTATGTATGCTTAGCCATGTGACTTTCTCAGTAAGTCATTCTCATGCTTCCTCTGTGTTTGGCTTGCAACTGTGTCTCTGCCTTTCTTCTTCCCAGAATTCTCCTAGTCTGGTTGTCCTGTCTATACTTCCTGCCTGGCCAGTCAGTGTTTTATTAAACCAATACAAGTGACAAATTTTTACAGTGTACAAGAGCATTATCCCATAGCATTTCCCCATGTTTTTCTTTTCAAAAGAAGAACCTTGAATCTAATCTACTTTGTTTAGCTTTTTTCCTGACCATTATCCATAACAACTTGTGACCAAAACTCAAAGACAAACATCCATAATCCTTTTTTTTAGGAATGTGGGCATAATTTTCTAGACTACTTCCTGCTGATTGGGGGCACTGATAATCTTTGGGGGACCCTGAGAAAATTTAGGAGTATGGTCAAATTCTGACTGGAGTATTCTGTGAGGTTGGGTCACCTCAACCAGTCATCTGGAAGCTGTTCTGGCTGAGGAACTCAGAGGAATTTCAACAGAGTTACTCTGAGATGCTGGATCATCTGGACCATCAACTCATATCAGAGATTTTTTTCAGGGGGGGGGTCTTCTTCGATCTAACCTGGCTTTTCTTAATCCAGAATGAATCCACAGTCTCTTACTTCATGTGGAAAAAAAAGCAGAACCTCTTTCCCAAAGCAACATATCTTTTTTATTAGGGTTAGGGTTAGGGTTAGGGTTAGGGTTAGGGTTAGGTTAGGTTAGGGTTAGGGTTAGGGTTAGGGTTAGGGTTAGAAAAAAAAACATATCTTTTTGACTTAAATTTTGAAGTCAAGATATTTTTAAAAATATATTTTTCATTTTAATTCAGCAGCATTTATAATCAGATGTCTTTTATCAGCTGTTGCTCTTTCCTTAGCAGCATGATTAAACAAATACGAGTGACAAAACTTTATAGGGCACAAGGGTATTATCCCAAAGCACTGTAGTACAGTAACTGAGAAACAAATTCATTCAACTCTCTACAACCACTATCAATGACAAAATTCTTGATACTTTTCTCATGGTTAGGGTTAGGTCCAGTGACTACTGTATGGGCATTGGAGTTTGGGATGGATGAGGTCAGTGGAACCTAAGCCATATGACACTATCTGCGTGACCCAGGGTGGCTTGCTGTGTTGAGGTCAGGGTTGGTATAGAGATTGGCACTGGCCTGTGGCATCAACATGTTATTCTGTGTTTGGGTGCAGACCATGCGTGGTGAGCTGCGATTTGACATCCAAAAGACTGGCACCTTGCATGGCTTCACAGCTTGGTTCAGTGTGTACTTCCAGAGCCTAGAGGAGGGTCAGCCTCAGCAGGTGCTCAGCACAGGCCCGCTGCACCCGTAAGTGACCTACTGGAGGGAGGCAGGAGGAGGTGGGATAGAGCAGGTGGATAAGGAATAGATGGAAACAGGCTGGTCTGCTGTGCTCTGCTCCCAGTACCCTTGGCCAACCATGTGGGTTGGTACGGGATGCCTCTTGCCTTTGCTTTGCTTCTGCCAGAAGATTATACTTCCCGAAAAATTTCCCTAGTGTGGAAGTGCGTCATAGACTTGGGGCTTTTCCCTGACCTCTCCTAACCCCTAAGCCTACAAGCTTGGATGCATGCTGTGCCTGGCCTGATGCCATCCAGCTTCTTATTCTTCTGTAATGTTGTAGGTGGGATCAGTTGGGTGTGCCTTGCCCCACCCCTGTGGCCCAGATCAGGGAGTAGAGAATGAACAGGAACATTTGAGGAGTGAGTGGAACCACAGGGCAGTGTGGGCTGGGGTGCTGTATGTTACTGGCACATGGGCTGACATGAGACCAAAGAGCTCGATACAGCACTGAAGTGAAGGAGAGTCCCGAGCCTGCGGCTGCCTGCCTATGGTGTTACAGTTGACCGGCTCACTTTAAACATCCCTCTTCCAGAAATGATGTTTGGCCTGCCTTGGTTGTATGTGCCACTGATTAACAATGGCAGAGTGGACTCTATCCACTGGGCCTGGGGACACAGAGCTCAGTGTAGCCATTTGACCCTGAGCTTCCATCCAAAAGGCCTCCCAAGTGAACCTTCCTCACCTCTACAACATGAGCCGTCTCTGTAATGTCTTCCCCTCTGCACCGGGAACGACATGCCAGCCCCTCATGTTGTGGTTTGATCCCATAATGACTTCAGATCATAAGATCGGCTGTGGGAGGGCGGCCCTGTGCCTTGTTGAACATGTTCCTGGGTTCCTGGGCAGCACGGGCTGTCAGTGCAGAGGACCTTATTGCGTCTGCCAGGTGAGGCTTGTAGGTAACTGTCCCTGTCTTGCAGCACCACACACTGGAAGCAGACCTTGTTTATGATGGATGACCCAGTCCCAGTCCACACAGGAGACGTGGTCACAGGCTCTGTTGTGTTACAAAGAAATCCGGTGTGGAGAAGGCACATGTCCGTCTCCCTTAGCTGGACTGTCACTTCTACACTCGACCCCACATCACAAAGAGTAAGACATTTATTTGTAAAATCATGTGTTGTAGATGCTGGATCCCAGACAACTCTGGGTGGTAATTAAGAACTGGGACAGACGTGTGTCCCCTGCCGTGGTTGGGCCAACCTGTGTTGTATCATTATATAATCTTCACACAGGACAAGTATGCTACTTTTAGATCTCTATAAAATCTAAATCACGTTTCTCCTTTCATGTAGTAGGAGGCAGACGGTGTAAGAAGGAAAGTGTCTAACCCTCCTGGGACACAGCTGGTCAGAGGAGTCCTGAGCGCAGCTGCCTAGGGCTGCTACTTGTCCTTTTCCTGGACGAGCTGTGTGCAAGGCGCGGAGGTGTCGGGGCTGCACAGAGTTGGCTGGGGTGTCAGGCCTCAGGTTTCAAGGGCTTCTGGAAGTTGGAGCTCTGCTTTTGGATACAGGGTTAATGTAAGAGAGAAGAGAAAAAAAAAATGGTTCTCGTTTACTTTGTGGCAGTTTTGCATTCAGTGTCAAAATGTTTGTCTTTAACGGTGCACTGGGAATGCCGTTCCATCCAGTGTTAAATTATTTGGAAGTACTGTGCTAATCAAGCAGAAATGATGACTTACTTGATCGAATTATTTTCCCTTCTGACTTTACAGGTTGGAGAGAAAGTCTTTCCAATCTGGAGGTGACGGTTAAGCCCAGCTTGGGAGTCAGGGCCATGGTATGCATCGTGGTGGAAGAAGATGCACCTGGCCACCAGCTGTGACATCCATACGCATCTGTCCCATGCTGACCCCTTTCCACCTCGCAGGTGACATCGGGCCCTTCACAGATAAGCCCCCGGGCTCTCCCCTAGCGTGTCTCTCTTGTAGGCTGTGTATATAGGTGTTCTTCTTGCGGTGCCCATCAGCTGCTGGCTGTGCCCGCATTCCCGCCGGGAGTAGTTGTAGTGTCCTCAGACAACACATTTCAGCCTGTGTACCTGTGACCGTGGTGTCCACATCTTGTGTCAGTGGTGTCCTTGATGTCCTTGCCCAACTGCTCCACATGTGGACTGTGGCTTGCAGAGCCGTGCTTTGGTGTAAGAGATAACTGAACCCCTGAGTCCCAATGCAGGGACTGGTGGTGGCAGTGTGTGCGGTGGGCTCTGCATGGGTAGTACAGTGTATGACATTTTATGGGTAAATTATATGTGGGACATAGTATGTGCTCAATAAATATTTTTTAATCAACAAATATTCTCTGTCCTGTTTCTGTGCACATACGCTGTTTCTCATATGTCTGTGTGGTTTGAGTGAAATTGGTCCCCACAGGCCCATAGAAAGTGGCACTATCTGAAGGTGTAGCCTTGTTGGAGTAGGTGTGGCCTTGTTGGAAGAAGTTTGTCACTGGGGGTAGACTTAGAGGTTTCAGATGCTCAAGTGAGGCTCAGGGTCACTTTCTATATATTTCAGGTATAGAATTCTTAGATACCTCTCCAGCACCGTGTCTGTCTGCCTGCCACCATGCTTCCTGTCCTGCTGACAGTTTTATTGTCAGCCACTCGCTGACAGATGGGGAAACTGCATGTGGCAGTTAGCTCTGCAGCCATTAAAGGTTGTTACCTAAAAGTTGGGTCATAAAAGGTAAAACAAGTCAGGAAGCATCTCTTCCCTCCGGAGCTGGAATTATCCAGAAGCAGAACAAATGCAAAACAGGGTCTGGTGTGTATGTGTGCCCAGGAGTGCCTCTTCACCCCACAGTTAAATAGGGTATTCGGATGCATTGTGTGTGTGTGTGTGTGTGTGTGTGTGTGTGTGTACGCATGTGTGCATGGTATGTGTGCCCAGAAGTGCCTCTTCACCCCACGGTTAAATGGGATATTCAGTTGGTGGGTGAGTAGAGGTGTGTGGAAGATCTGGGAGGAATTCAGGAAACGAAGGAATATGATGGAACTATATTGTCTGAAAAAATATTTTAAAGGAAAAATGAGATAAATTCAACTTAGAGCTCAGGGAGCCCTGAGGAAGAGAGGGAGCAAGAATTTTAGGAGCTGAAGGGGTTGAGGACACCATAAGAACGAGGTTCATAAACATCAACTAAGCAGGGCTTGTGTGGCTCACAGAGACTAAAGCTGCAGTCACGAAGTCAGCGTGGATCTGTGCTAGGTCCTCTGCGTATGCCATGGCTATGATGATGATGATGTCATGATGTTTTCATGGGACTCCAACAGTGGGATGTGATGTCTCTGACTGTTTTGCCTGCCTCAGGAGTCTCTTTCTCCTATTGGCTTGCCTCACCCAGCCTTGATATGAGATTTTGTGCTTAGTCTTATTGTATCTCATGCCATGTTCGGTTGATATCCCTAAGACGCCTGCTCTTTTCTGAAGGAAATCAGAGAAGTGGATCTGTGGGAGAGGGGAAGAAGGAGCTGGGAGAAATCAAGGTAGGGGAAACTGTAGTTGGAATATGTTGTATGAGATAAGAAGAAATAAATTAAAAAAATAAATAAATGCGTAGTCAATGACCATAGTGTTCTTTGTAAAATAGAAGTAGAAAAACTGGAGATATGATGTTTATTAAATTACAATATGTATATTATGTGATAGTTATTGAAATAGTTAAAAATCCTATAAAGTAGAAAATACCCATAAAATATCACTGTTATAAACATGAATATATGATCTAATCTATGTAAAATAATTTATATTTATATAAAAGTTACCTCTGTGTAAGTGGTAGTGTTTGAAAAAATTTTAAGAAGCAATGGTATATAAAAATCAAAGTCCTAACAGAATACAGAGGAGAAAATTACATCGAGTTGTGTTGCTGAGGGTGAAATAGAGCTCAGCCAAAATAGCCATAGAAAAAAACCGCCACCGCCAGGAGGACGATGGCATTGGTGTTCATGACATTCCTCCAGAAGGGCTCCTCTGTGGTGTCTGTGAGTTTCTTTTTCAAGACTTCTTCCTCTTCTTTAGTTAGCTTGGGCTCTGTTTTTTGCAAACCACAGAATAAATCATAAGTCTTCTTGAGACATCCACGAGGTTTCTCCGTTTGATCTGGAACAAAGAAAGGGAAATAAACCATCACCAAATATGGATGAACATCTGTTTAGTGTTGTAGAGATGTCTGTAAACGGTGACCACAATTTTTATAAGAGCCAGAAGAATACTGAGAAAATATTTGTAAATTTGACTATATAAAGGTTGAAAAGTATCCCCCAAAGTGAGTTTAAAAAGTGACTAAATGGGGGTAACAAGGGGAAGGGATTTGCATGCAATACCACAGAGGCTTTTCTGGTCTCAACATACAACGGGTTTTTGAAATTAAAAAAAGAAAAGATCATTTAGAGAGCCATTTAAATACTATAGAGTTGACAAACAACTTAAAAAATAAGTTATCTTAAGATCACTTCAAAAATTAAAAATATATTACAATACTTGTTTTCACAATTGTTGGCAAAAATTCCAGTAATGTGCTTCATGAAAATATCTTTGTGACACTATCCTAGGATCTTGGCGTGTGTAAAGAGAGCCGAGGCATCCCTCCTGCTGTAGCTTTACTGGGTAGAATACTAAGAAATGAGGTTGAGGCTAGACACTTGATCAAAAGATGTGAAGATGGAAGTCACATGTAACTGAATGTCATCTCAGCACCTGGCGGGTAGAAGGATACACACCAGGTGGTCGGTGGGTGTATTTCATATCTATCAAGATATCTTCCTTGTTATACCAGTGTGGGATTTGAATACTTAGTTTGTTATAAAACAACAACTTCTCAAAAATTGGATAACTGAAGAAACCAGATTAAGTATAGGTGTCCTCTGTCATCAAAGAAGCTTATCTCCACAGTGCATGAAGTCATTACAGAAAAGCTCAGCCTGACGCAATGCCGAGGTCAAGCCACACTCCAGTGGCTACATTTATATCTCAGTTCCAGCATCTGTGGCTCAGGGAGCATCTTGGAAGAAGAGTAACAAAGATTGTAAGAGCCAGAATACCAGAAGATCTGCTGTGAAACATTCTTTCACAGAAATGGCTGCGTCTCACAGGTTCCTATGGTTGTGATGAAACAGCATCACCAAAAAGCAAGCTGGGGAGAAAGAGTTTGTATTTCGTTATACTTCAGGTAACAGTCCTTCACTGAGGGAGGTCAGGACAGGAACACAAGCAGGGCAGGAGCCTGGAGGCAGGTGCTGATACAGAGGCCATGGAGGGGGTGCTGCTTACTGGCTTACTCCCCATGGCTTGCTCAGCCTGCTTTTTTACAGAACCCAGGACCACCGGCCCAGCGATGGCACCACACCACCATGGCTGTACCCTCCCTAGTCAATCACTAATTAAGAAAATGGCTTACAGCTGAATCTTATAGAAGCATTTTTCTCAATTGAGGTTCCCTGCTTTCAGATAACTCTAGTTTGTATCAAGTTGACACAAAACCAATCGGCACAAGCTGTATAAATGAGACAAGAGTGATGCCAAGATTAATAGACTTGCTGACATAGAAGGCAAAGAACTACAGGCAACGAATGACTGCCAAGAATGGGAGAATTAACCTCTCCTAGAAATGAGCCCCTTAACTGCTTGTGTAGCCCAAAGCGGTCAGCTCTGAAACCATATACACGTAACAGAAATAGATTCATTAGGCTATATTCATGCATTTCTGAATACACACACACATACAACATATTATTTAAAGAAAAAGAGACTATAGTTGTTGGGAGGAGTGGAGTAAGAGTGATTGATGAGCAAGAGGGAGCAAAGGGAAGGGGAAAGTGATATAATTACATTTTAATTGAAAGGATATATTGAGCTTAGTTTTTCTAGCCAGCCGGCAGGCAAACTTCCTACAGGTAGGCTGCTCCAACACTCCCGCCCCATCCATCCTACCCTGCAAGCTACAAGCTACAACCTAGATGCCCCTCAACCAATGAATGGATTTAAAAAAAAAAAGTGGCACCTTTACACAATGGAGTACTACTCAGTGGTAAAAAAATAACGAGATCTTGAAATTTGCACGCAAATGGATGGAACTTTAAAAATAAATATCCTGAATGAAGTAACCCAGACCCAGAAAGATGAACATGGTATGCACTCACTCAAAAGTGGATACTAGCTGTAAAGCAAAGAATAATGAGCCTATAATCCATGATCCTAAAGAAGTTAAGTAACAAGGTGAACCCTAAGAAAAACATATGTAGATCCACCTGGAAAGGAGAAATAGACAAGATCACCTGACAAAACTGGGAGCTTGGGGGTGGGGGAAGAAGGAAGGGCAGAAAGGAAAAAGGAGGGGAAAAGAGGAGGAGGGCAGGAGGGAGGAGAACTTGTGGGAACCGGATAGTGGAGATGGAGGAAGGAGAGAGATGAGAGCAAGGAAAGAGATATTTTGATTGAGGGAGCCATTATGGGGCTAGCAAGAAATCTGGCACTAGAGAAATTCCCAGGAATCCACAAAGATGCCCAAGCTAAGACCCTAAACAACAGAGGAGAGGGTGCCCAAACTGGCCTTGCCCTGTAGTCAGACTGATGAATATCTTAAATGTCACCATAGACCCTTCATCCAGCAACTGATGGAAACAGAGGCAGAGACCTGCTTCAGAGCACTGGCCTGAGCTCCCAAAGTCCAGTTGTAGAGTAGGGGGAGTGAGAATACGAGCAAAGAGGTCAAGACCATGATGGGGACACCCACTGAAACAGTTCACCTGAGCTAATGGGAGCTCACCAACCCCAGCCAGACAGGGAAGGAATCAGCATAGGACCAAACTAGGCCCTCGGAATGTGGCTGACAGTTGTATGGCTGGGACAGACTGCAGGGCACTGGCTGTGGCACCAGGATTTATTCCTACTGCTTGTACTGGCTTTTTGGGAACCCATTCTCTTTACAAAGATACCTTGCTCAGCCTAGATATAGTAGGGAAGGCCTTGGACCTTCCCCTAAGCAATGTGCCTTACCCTCTCTGAGGAGTGGATGGGGGTGGTTTAGGGGGATAGGTGGAAAAAATGGGAGGAGGGGAGGGAGTGGGAACTGGGATTGGTATGTAAAATGAAAAATAATAGTTTGTTTTCTTTTTTAAAAGATAAAATACAAAAGAAGATAAAAATGTATATATCGAAATCCCCAGGAAGCCGCACTATGGAAACCAATACTGCGTGAGTCATTACCGTCTTCATTCCTGTCATCAGTGTCTTCCTCCCCTTTCTCCTCTGCATCTAAATCGATTCTTTCCTCTTCACTGTTCCGGAGAGTCCAGCACAGGCGATACAGCTGAGAGGAGACCACAGAGAGCATTAGCAAAATGCACGCTTGCGAAAAATGAACAGCAGTCTCGGTTTTATACAACTAAAAAAAAAATCAGACTGCACAAAAGAGTATTATGGATTGTAATGAATATTACAATATCCAGCCATATCATGCTCCCCAAAACTCACAAACCATTTAAACTCACTTCTGTTTTTAATTCTTTGGGAAATATTTAAAAATTTAAAATTTCTAAAACACTTTGGGTTTTATACTTTCAGAAAAGTAGGAGATTAACCCAGCCTAAATTACACCTGGCTTCACTCACTGCCTTATTGTCTACTGTGAATAGTGACGTCATTGTCCTTATTGTCTGTCAATATCAACTTCATTGTTCTTTCATTGTCCTTATTGTCTGTCAATATCAACTTCACTATTATTTCATTGTCCTTATTGTCTAGCTGATTATAGTAATTTTATTGTTATTTCATTGTCCTTCTGTTCTTTCAATTGTAACTTCGTTGTTTAACTGTGAATAGTAACTTCATTGCTATTTCACTGTCCTTGTTGTCTAACTACTAGTCTCTTCATTGTTACTTTCAGCCTGGTTAGATATTGGCTTTGCATTTAATTTTGTTGTTGTGACGTAGTTTCTCAGGTAGCCCAGATTGACCTTGTACTTGCTATGTAGCTGAGGATGTCCTTGAACTTCTGACCTTCCTGCCTCCCCCGCCCAGGTGCTGGTGCACCATCATTAAAAAAATTAACAATAAATTATGTTTATTATGTTAGCAGTAAGGAAATAACACTATGTTTATTGGTTTGGAAACTATGACATGGTCAGTCAATAGCCAATACTCAGACTACATATTTAGTCATCAGTTCTGTTGACGTATTATTGGCAAAGTAATTTTGCAACCCTTGGCATTGACTTTCCCCATCACACACCATCTACTGCCCTCCTTAAAAAATGCAAACAAGATTGCCTTAGGATTGAGTGATGAATAAAAAACACATAAAAAGTTAGATAATGTATAAAATGGTAGTAATAAGGAATATTAGTAATGCATATACTATATACTATTTGTAATAAATATTAGTATAATTATGTGTAATATATGAAAATAATGGAAAATATAAATACACATGCTTCATTAGCATGTAAATATAATACATAATATATGAATATATATAATGACGGCCTCTCTTCCCTACTCCCACTCTGCAAAGAAATAAACAGTCTAGACTAGAAGGTCATGGAAGAAAAATCTTAAAATTATGATGAAGATGCTGAAGTGTAGCTATTCACAGTTGATGGTTTCTGGACGGGTTGGGGTTAGGGAAAGACTCAGTTTACTTTAAAGGGCTGGACACTGAGAATTTGACCATGCTCCAGTGAGTATATGGGCAACATAAAATAGAATTTTCATTTTTTTCTTCTTCTTTTGATTTGGGGAAGGTCACAAGTGTTCGGGGTGGACCTGGGAGGACTGGGAAGTGAGTGCCAACAAGGTACATTATGTGAAATTCCCAAGTAATCAATAGAAATGTGTAAAAATATTTATATTNATTATAACATGATAACTGTAATATATAATATACTTACAATATAAAATATAATATATAAAATATAATATATATTTGTATACTAATATTGCTTATTACATAAAATGAAAAATGATAAATATTTGCTTGCCCTTCACAGTGTCCGCTAGTGTCCCATAGATAATAGTGCTGAAAATTTCAATTGTCTTTCTGTATGTTTTTGTCTACATGTAGACACACACACTATTTATATTCCACAAGTGATATTAAACGATCCCATATGGTTTTGTATGTGTTTTTCTCGCTGAATAAATTTATGGACATTCTCAAGTAATACAACAGCTTTAAACACCTACAGAACATTTGGCACACTGTTATTATAGAGTCATTTTCTTAGAAGTGGCAATTCGGGTTGTACTCCAACTTTTCCATTTTCATAGTCAATAACACTTGCAGGGAAAACCCTGATTCATATATTTTCCCTACACTCCTGAGCCCATGATTAATAACTCCCAAATTGAGAGAATCAGAGTTTAATAAAGAACGCCCAGTTGCGTTCTTACCCAGCATCAATTCCCACACCTACCAATAATTTTGGATGCTGAAATTTTACTAAATCTTCACCAACATTTTATATTAGCAGTGGCAAGCAGCGTTTTTGTCCGCTTGAAAGACAAAAATGTACCTCATTGTTCCATTTTGCCTTTTCTTGACCGCTGTTACTCTGCTTTTGGAAACCGTATCTATATAGACCTTTATAATGGGTCTGAGTTTCTGCTCAAACCCAGAGAGGCCAGATGGACAAGTCTGCTGTGAAGTCTTTCTCCATCTACAGGACAGGAGGGACTATTCCCTTCCCAGTGTGTATAACAATGTCACAGACACGCTCCCCAACAGTATCATGAAGCTTTTGAAGTAGAATGCTCACTGTTTTTAGTATTTGTGTGCAATGTGTTTGTGGGTGTATAGAAGGGTGCATGGCAGCTGGAGGAGGATTTTCTGGACCCAGTCCCCTCCTTCTACTTCTATGTGGGTCCCAGAGATTGAACTCAGCTTATTGCTGGGCTTGCTTAGAAAGTCCCTTTCCCTGTGGAGACATCTCACTGGCCTTAAAAATGTATGCCCGTGTCTTCGCCTCTTAGCAATATACTGTTGCTTCGCACATACACGATCAATTTGTTCAGTTGAAAGCTGATTGATTATCTTTTAGGTTCCTCCTAAATCTAATAATCCAACAATCCCACTAGCCTGGCATTAGCTGAGGTTGCCGCTGTGCACATATGGAAAGCAAATGATACCAGTTTGTGCGACACTCACGTGTACATCAGGGATGGGTTTTGTTAGGAAAGAAACTCCCAGGGCAACCAACATAGACACGAAGAAGAGAATGATGGCATAGTATAGATAGTGCACTCCACAGATGATCGTGGGACAGTTACTGGCGACCAGGCAACTCCCTGTCCCGTAAGAAAACTCTGCGATCATACGGATAAGGCCCAATAAGAGTCCAGCCATCAGACCCCAGAATGCTCCCTGTTAAGAACAAAACAAGAACACAACAAGAGTGCTTAGGAAAGATGAGACGCTCATTCAAATAAGTCATAATTAATTACTACTGTGTTCTTAAGCAAGGACCAACAAACTGGGAAGGTTACAAACACAAACTATCAGCGGGAACTTGTCCTCTATGGTCTTGAAATACCATCACAGTGTTGACTGTCCAACCACAGGACTCTGCTGTCAACACGGACCCAAAATGAAAAATTTCCAAGTTGTCTTTTATATGTAGAATAAAAACTTGTGCTTTATTTTGTAGAAGAAGGAGAATCATGATATTCATGCTACACAATTTGAAGAGCCGAGCAAGCACTAGACACTAAGTGGTCGGAATCTGTCACTTGCCTGAAAATCACATGATATAGTGAACAGCTAGAAACACACAAGGGATGAGACATAGACGTAAGCAGATCAACTATTCTCACCACAATAACAGTGAACATATTTTAATTTTTACTAGCTTTTCCAGAAGTGTTTACTATCTGCCTTGATTCTCATAACCACTCGTATAAAGTGGGCACTGTTATCATCCTCACTGGACAGAGTGGAGTTATTTGCTTCTGACCATTATGTTAGAGTCCTGATGGGACACAGACAGCCCGTCTCCTAAACTGTCCTCCAGCACGGCACTGTGCACAAGGTGGCAAATCACTCTTTAGTAAGGATCAGACATGGTGACGACAGTAGAAACTGAGACAGGCCTTGAGTACACACGGAATAGCAGGAACACATCGTGTGGCACCAGGAGAGAAACTATTGTTTCCTCCACCTGCTGGGAAACCCCTCCCGTTTCCCACTTACTTGTTCATTGACTCTTTTACAGAAGATGGCGAGCACGAAGACAGCTGCGATAGGAGGCCCCAGGTAGCTAGAGATGGACTCTGTATAGTGGATCAGCTGTCCACCCTGAGATACTTCTACGATGGGGACCCACAGGATGCTGGTGACAATCAACACAGCGACAAACAGCCTATAAAAATAATTAATTACAGACATTAAACGACAGCACCGCATGTGTATTTGCTGAGTTTTTAAATTTATCCCTGAGCCATTCATTCATGCTCAAAATAAAACTATGTTCCCTGAACTGATAGGAACCCACGCTGTGCTAACCGTCTGCTGGTTCACCGTCGACAATTCTTACCTAAACCTGCCGTAAAGCTTCAGGTAAGCTTAGCGCTTTCTAGTAAGTCGGATGTCAGCAGTAGTTAATCATCCTTAATACAATGCATACACCTCAGAAATTAATACTGTAACAGTTTTGTTAACTGGAAGTTATTTGTATAATAAAGTAGAATCCATTTTATCTTTTTCTTAGTTAGAGAGAACTGAAGGAGTTTCCGTAAGAAACTTCCGTAAGATGCTTCCCAAGCCACTTCGATTGCTTTCTGTCACACGCTCGAGTGGTCCAGCATGAGCTGGCTTCTGGATACCTTGGTAAGCTGTGTTCACCTTGTTTTCTCACTTTCTCCCTGGGGACAGCCTTATTCCTTGTTACAAAGCTGCCACATGCATGGCTTGCATGGTGTTCTCACTGTTCCTGTCCCACATAGCCACGGACTCCCCTGCCGCAACTTCAAGACTTCACTCAAGTGCCACCTCCACAGGGACACTTCCTGGCCTTAGGTCCCTGGCATCCTTTCACTCTGGCTTACTTTTGTCTCCTCCCCCTACTATTTTTAGATTATTTTCATAAAATTTATTCTGATTCTGATTCACCTGCTGCAGCTGTGTTTATCTATCTGCCCTACAGAGACATAGCGTGCTTACATGAAGCAAGCATTTTTTTTTTTTTTACATTTGTATTTTGGGAGATTGACATTTGATAAGAAAGATGAAACAGATATTACTTTGTCAGTGAGATTTGAAAAGGATTTGCCTCCAAGATGATGTATTGACTAGTGGGACCACCGTATCCTGAAAATCAGCCCGGAAAAACAAACAAAGAAACAAAACTATGGCTATCCGTTTTCTTCTTCAACAGCCTTTCTCCAGTTAATATCGGGGACAAGTGAGGTCCTCTAGGTTTCTATTCCCAAGTGTTTAATTTATTAAAGCTATTGCTACTGTCAAAAGCAAGGAGGACTATGTAAGTAGGTGGTGAGTTTCCCTTGATACCAACTTCACAAGAAAGCGGGCAGTGCCCTTCCGAGACTGCTCTTTACAGACACCGCGCTTCTCAGGATTCTGTGGGAGAGCTTCTAGCCCCAAACCACAGTGAGAAACATGGAGAACAGGCAGGTCTCACATAAGGAACAAGGATAGGATTATTCCAGTTTCTCTTCTAACTAGCTGAGGAGTTCAGAGATGAACTTGAAGTGGTCCTCCACAGGTAAATGATAACTTGTTTTCATTAATGAAGAAACATGCTCTATGTATATTATTCAATATTGATAACTGTAAAAGGAAAATTACTGCTCTCTTACCTTACCACCTATTTTACCAATCTATTTCTTCTAAGTCAAAATAAGTCATAATCACATGGAAAGTTAAACCAAAGCCACATGGCATGAACAGTAGAGCAGATGAATGCTGAGGTTTTAAGATATTGAATACCATACAGCAAGAGACTGAAAGAAAATACACCTGGAAACATCACTGCATGCCATAAAATACCTTGAGCCAAAGACACCATCTATCATGAAATGTGTGCCGATTTACTGTATTTTTGATAATCTAAAGCAGGAAGACTCATTAATATCATTAGATGTTATAGTGGTTAACTTTGGATATGCAGGAACTGAGCGGAGTTCTGGGCGATCATAATTATTATTATATCATATGTATTAATATTAGTGATTAATTCTAACGTGTGCAGTAACTACACGTTGCTCCTTCTGAGACACACCACTGAGCTGTATACTTACGTTATCCATGTCCTCTGTATGTATGTTATACTTTAATCTCAACAAAATGCTGTGATAGTGTTGGGCCTACTTGATAGCAATGAAGAGGAAAACAGGGTCTTTCTTAACTATTCTCCCTGGCTGTTTGTTTTTACTTCATGTGTCTTCTGGACTCTCAGACTGCTTAGGGATTGTTTGGTTGATGTACTCTCTAAGTAGCCTCTAGAAGTAGTCTCTTCCCCAAGTCTGTCCCTTTCTAACATCTAGTCCTTCATGAACATGAAGTTGGTACTCTCATTTGTAATAGTAACTGAATTCATTGCCCCTTGCACATAGTAGTCTTGAGTGAATCTGCAGACGAAGCATGAAGAGAAGACGGTGATTTGTAAAGATGTGCTTGGATGGGGTTGTGAGAAAAAAGTCAAAACAAAAAAAAAATCACCGAAGCCCTTAAAAATGGAAAAAGCAACCATCTCATTTAAATAGCCTCAATTTTTGTATGTGTAAAGAGAACTATTTGTCCCTAATGTTCCTTCTCCCACTGTAGAATGATGATTATTTTCACTGAAGTCAAGGATATGCACACGCTAGTTCACCACTCTGTCTGCCCTTCCTGAGGGGAGTCCTAGGCCGAGACCAGGTTCCCTCACCGTCCGGCTATCAGGAGCTCTCTCTCAGACGCCTTCTTCCTGATCTTGGTGTAGAGGTCCACGGTGAAGAGGGTGCTGGAGCTGTTGAAGATGGAGGTCAGGGAGCTCATGAGAGAGGCCACCATCACTGACAGCATCAGGCCTCGAAGTCCTGGGGTCAGGAGAGGTGAAGCTCTGGTTAGCGGTTGTGTATCCTTTTCTTTGTGTGCCAGGCTAAAAAATAGGGAGTCGCTTCAAAACAATGGGTTTGCCTGGAACATTGCGTATTTGAGCAGATATCCAAATACACACAAGATAGAAATCGTGTGGTACTTCCTGCATAAATTCCCTCCTCAATATCACACAATGGGGGAATTTAGTCCCCAGTGCAAACTCAGATGCCCGCTACTGGAAACTAGTCTTAGAATAGAGGAAGCCCTGTCATGCCATCTTTCTTTGCAGCGATCTCTTGACTAAACAAAGCTTTAGTGGAAAAATCTAGTTAATGAGTCTGCTGTTTCTGGAGAGACCAAGGATTTGGAACGATTACAGGGACCTGATGCTCTAGTTCACTCTGGTCCCATATTTGCTAGGACAGAGGATGGGGAAAGTGGTTCCTGATCTGTGGGCCATGTTTCCTTCACTCTGAAAATGTTCACTTGTGTCAGGATGGAGAAAGGGCCATGGAAGTGTTAACTCAAGTTTGCAACTGATCACAGCTGAGTTCTCTACCTTGATCTGCTTCAATTCACCACCATCAATTTCCAGCAACTTAATACTTTACTTTCTTCACATGTATGGCTTATTTGATATATCAGGAAACTGAAATGTTAATTGTCAATGGTAGGGGAACTTATTTTTGCAACTTCACCAGTGTTTCTGGACTCCCAAGTTAGTGTCTGAGACATAATACATTCAATAAGCAATTGTAAGTTAAATATATTGAGATCTAATGTCTGAGTGTTACTGGCCCATAATTAACCTTGACTCTTCTGGACGTATATGTTTGTGGTTAAGCAACGCTTTGCATTAGCAAAAAGAAAGTTGAGGTCTTCTTAATTTTCTTCAAAGAGTCTTGAGCCTAAAGAGTCAAGATTTTTCTAACAGGAAACATCTGCTCCAATACTGGAATGTCTAGGCTCAGCAGACAGTTGGCAACATGTAAAAGGTGCCTAAGAAATATTGATGAGCAGGGCTGAGTTAATGGAAGTAAAGTCATAATTGCTGAGGATTTTACCATGACCCTTTCTAAGCTCATCTACAGACCAAGCATCTGAGGCTGTGTGAGCCTAGGTCTTTACTTACCCATGGGCATCAGCTTCAGCACCAACATTGGGTAGGCATAGTTGGTGCAGCCAATGTCAACACCACATTGCTTTACACACTCAGAAGGCACAACACAGGCCACCATATCTGGGGAGATATTCAGAAGCTAGTTCAGTGAGCTAGATTTAAGCAGGCATAGTTTGTAACCATTGGACAAAGAGGTAAGCTCATGAGTGGGAGAAAAGACATTTGCCTGGAAATAGAGATTCATGTTTGAATTTTATGTCGCAGATCTGGTACCTCTTTACCCACAGCATGCCTTTGGCCTTGTCTCATTTTCATAGGTGTTGATGGTCTGGCCCAACAGATACGACCCAGCTAGAGCTTCAATGCATGTGGAAGGAGCTGATTGCCCTTCAGCATTTCATGAAAGCTCACTACGAGGGAAGCATCTGATGATCTTCACCCTCCCTCTTCTCCTCCAAATCCACTCCACTAGTCACCCTCACCAGTTCTGTAGCATATCACCTGCCATGCCCCCCTTCCTGTCTGCCCCTATCTCTAGTGGGTCTTGCAGCCTTCCTCACTACCTCATCCCTTTGTCTCAGCCACCAAATCTGGGGGCATTCTCAAGAATCCCACCAGTCACAAAGGCCAGCGAATCAGGTAGACAATCTTCATTCTTCCTCCTCTGTTCCAAGTTGAATCCTCCATTCCCAGCTCTGTAGCAGACCAACTGTTCTAGTTTCTCCTTCCTCTCTACCCTCATTCTCAGAGGACTACATAGATCCTGATGACACACCCTGTCTTCCTTCTTCCTGTGGACCTCCCCAGCTTCCCCTTCTAGCTCACTCCCATTCTGTCATCTCCCAAAACCTAGAAAAACCTTCTACCCAGATGTGTAATGGCCACACCTGGCAGGATCTCAGAAGCACTCCTTACCCGGCAACCCACAGACACCACACTTTCCTAAGAACCAGAGAGAGCATCGGGAACTAAGGGACAAAACACTCACCAAAGATAAGAGCAGATATTATTATCAAGAATTACAATCATCTCAAACTCAGATACCTAGATACCAGCATAAAAACACAATCAACAACAGCCAGGGCGATATGTCTCCACTAGGGACTAGAAATTCTACTAAAGTAGGCAATACAGCTGATGCACAAAAAAAAAAAAAAAAAAAAAAAAAAAAAAAAGAGAGAGAAAAAGGAAAAAAAAAAAGGCTTGAAAATAGCTGAGCCCCCTTCCACTCTGGTGACTCTAGCTTGTGTCAAGTTGACACACAAAACCAGCCAGTGCACCACCAGAATACAAGAGATGGAAGAGAGAATCTCGGGCATTGAAGAGAAGATAGAAAAAAATAATATCTTGGTAGGGGAAAATGTTAACTCTTAGAAAATTTAGGGAAAATGTTAACTCTTAGAAAATTCAGGCATAAAACATACAGGAAATCTGGAACACTATGTGTACTTTTCCGTCAACTTGGCCAAAGTTAGAATCGTCAGAGAGGAGAGAACCTCAATTGAGAATTCTTCCATAAGATTAGTCTGTAGGCAAGCATGTAGGGTTTTTTCTTAATTAGTGGTTGATAGAGGAGTGTCTAAGTCCATTGTGGGTGGTGCCACCCCTGGACTTGTGTCCTGGGTTCTATAAAAAAGCAGACTGAGAAAGCAAGGAGAAGCAGGCAGTAAGCAGTGCCCCTCCATGGCCTCTGCATCAGCTCCTGGCTTCAGGTTCCTGCCCTGCTTGAGTTCCTGTCCTGACTTCCTTATGTGATGAACTGTGATGTGAAAGCATAAAGCCAATTAAACCCTTTCTTCCCCAAGTTGCTTTGGTCATATTGTTTCATCATAGTAATAATAACTGTAATTAAGACACTATAAAAAGCTCACGTCTACTAATAATAGGAATAGATGAAGAAGAAACCCAGGTCAAAGTCACAGAAAATATTTTCAACAAAATTGTAGAAGAAAATTTCTCAAACCCAAAGAAGAGGTGTCTAGTAAATTACAAGAAGAATACAGAACATCAAATAGATTGAACCAGAAAAGTGATTTCCCCATAGAATATAATAATATAATGTACAGAACAAAGAATATTAAAAGCTGCAAAACTAACCACGTATTTGAACACAAAGAAATCTCAACAGATACAAGGAAATTGAAATAACCCCCTGCATCCTATCTGGACCACCACAGATTTGCCAGGGAAGTGGGACCAGGATCTATCCCTGGTGCATGAGCTGGCTTTTTGGAGCCCATTCCTATGGTGGGATGCCTTACTCCACCCTGTTGCGTGGGAGGAGGTCTTGGTCTTGCCTCAACTGAACTTGTTGGGCTTTGTTGACTCCCCATGGGAGGCCTTACCCTTTCTGAGGAATGGTTGGGGTTGGTTGGGTGGAGGTGGGGGGAGGAATGAAGAGAGGAAAGGGGAAAATGAATAAAAAAATTAAAAAATGTCACTGTAATGAAAACATGTCTCACATTCTCAACATCATTTTAAAAGCATTAATATACCAGGCAATTATGTTTTTATATATTTGTTATCACTGTTAAGTTTTATATCATGTTAAAAGGATATTTATATCATGTATAATAAATATAATATTCTATGGTGAAAAAATAAATAAAAATAAAATTTGCCAGGGAGCAAATTTAGAACAAATCAACAAGAATGATAGATTACATATTCAAAAAACTTGGAATTTTACTCATAACACTAAAAAGGGGGGGCTGGAGAACCAAATTGACCTAGGATTAACCCTTTAGGAATAACTTTATATGGCATCTATAGCTAGGTGGTGGCTCACACTTTCAACCCCAGCACTTGGGAGGTGCACAGTCTAATACTGAAACCTGGGAGGAAAAGGCAGAACAGAAGAATTGCAATGATTTCTATTTAAAGCTACTTGCAAAATAGTGCAATTCACATAGTGAATGTGCCTCGTGATCTAAAACCAGATTTTATCCTTGAAATTTTACATAAAGAGAAAGGGGAATATAGGTATATTTATCCACATATACTGAGGTATATTTAGTGTCAAAATTTCAAAGAATTTTTTAATTGAAAGAATATTTTTTCTGTTGCCAAAAGAAAGAAAGAAAGAAAGAAAAAGAAAAAAAGTTTGGCCCTAGGTTGGGGCAGGGTTTTGTTTTTATCTTTCCAGAAGAACAAAAGCATCCAATTAAAGAATCTAAAGACCAGTGGACAAGTGAACCATCTGATGAAAAAGGACAGATCATCAAGAAAAAATGTCCCCGGTGGGGAAGAGACAGAAATCTTAAACAAACAAACAAACAAACAAACAAACGAAAAAATGTCCCAAGAGTAACTTGGCCTGATGGTATCACCCACCCCCCAATAGGGTAGATGGTTGTAAATCTTCCCAAATGCTTGTGTCTGCTGCCCTCTACAGACAGAAGTGGGAAAAGGTCCTTATGTGTCCCCAATTCAATTAATTAATGCTGACTTCGTGGCTGTAGCGTGGCTCTCTCTAAAAATCACACATGCTTGTTAAAGGAAAATCCAAAATCTCTGTCTCATTTAAGAAGAGCCACCTGGTATGGGACATCTGAAAACAAGAGACTATTCTGTTGCCACTAATCTCATAGTCCTGTGGTTTTCATTTGACTCTTTAAATAAGATTATTATGCATATGTAACTTTTCCATCACGATATTAGTGGTCATATAGAGTACTATTTCTATTTTTTTTTTTGGTTTTTCGAGACAGGGTTTCTCTGTGGTTTTGGAGCCTGTCCTGGAACTAGCTCTTGTAGACCAGGCTGGTCTCGAACACACAGAGATCCGCCTGCCTCTGCCTCCCGAGTGCTGGGATTAAAGGAGTGCGCCACCACCGCCCGGCTTAGAGTACTAATTCTAGAAATAAACTTCATCTAGCTTTCTATACACATTTGAGGGCTAAAGTCTGAAGCAGGTAACTAGAAACTAAATTTGTGTAGGCCGGATAGACTTAATAGATTATGGTCCGCTAACCTTTCAGAGATCTGCTGAATATGGCATTTGAAATGCTTAAGTTTTCTGCAATGAACCATGGCCATTCCTAGCAGTGACCTTTGAGGTCTCCAAGAAGAGGGTGGGGCCCTGAAACAACAAGCCCACCTGGATTGTGCTAACACCACTAAGCTGACAAACATCACCTGAAGGTCAGCTTCAGATTACAACCCGCTCAGGAGTTCACAAGAGACCAACACTGCTGGGAGCAGTGAGACCCCAGATCCTGAATTTCTTGTAAACAACTTGTTCTCGCCTGATCTGAGTGCCTACAGCTGCTCTGAGCACGAGACCTTCAGGAGTTCCTGATGGCAGGAGAGTGGTTTCTGGTGGGTTTGGCTGGGGCCTGGCTATCTCTATATATAATCTGCCCCTGAACACAATAAAGGGGGCATTCTTGGGGAATTCAAGGATGGCCTGTATCGCTGCCTCTCTGTCTGTGTGTGTCTGTGTATTTTAACCTCCAGCCCCCTTGCCCAAAGCTTGGTAACTGGGTGCCAGCGCACAGAGCGCAGTCACGGGGGTGCGCAGCACAACACATTTTACAGAACTCTGAACTCAAATATTTTTAATCCTAAGACTGCCAAACACAACTAAGCTGGACATTGTGAAAAGCTTGGCAGAAGTAGCTTCATTATTGTGAATAGTTTTACTGTGTTAGAGTTAAAACCTTTCCTATTTATCTAGACTAAAAGGGGGAAAGGTTGCAGGATATTTGATCACACTGTTAGCCCAGAGGTTGCATTATTTACTGGAAGAACCTGTCTCTGGCTGTGGTGTGGTTCGGCCCTAGTACGCACCCTTAATTCAAAAGCTTTCTGTTTATTGCAAATAGGAATAAAATCAATCATAGGTCAATAGGCAAAGCAAGTAGATATAGACAGTAAGAGGGGGTCAAGAAGACAGACAGAGAGATGCCCAGGAAGTAGTAAGGTGGGACTTTGAGTTTGGCAGTCCTTTTAGGTTTGGGACAGTAGAAGAGACGCTCTCTTTTCTGGGATGTCAGAAGAAGGAACGTCAGCTGGTTGCTTTCTCTGCCTCTCTGAGCCAGCAGGCTTTCACCACAGCATCTGACTCCTGAGCTTTTGTTGATAAAATAATAGGATAGAGAATTAAAAACAATGTTTGTCTTCCTACTTGGAAGCAGCTGTGGCAGCTGCAGAGGCAGCAATAAGATCAGGTGTAGCCACTATGCCACAGATATAAAAACAACACGAAGGTAGAGAAGATGTAAATTACCAAATTTAGAGATGAAAAGGGAGGCAGAAAAATAGATACTGAGTAAATCCAGAGAACCATTAATCCTCTATATAAACATTCTGAAACATGATTATCTCATTAGATGCAGAAAAGGCTTTTGGGAAAAATCTAACATCCTAGGACAGTGGTCCTCAATCTCCCTAATGCTGTGACCTTTAATACAGTTTCTCATGTTGTGGTGACCCCAACCATAAAATTATTTTTGTTGCTACTTTATAACTTTAGTTTTGCTACTGTTGTGAATTATAATGTAAATCTCCATGTTTTCTAACGGTCTTAGGCAACCATTGTGAAAGGGTCATTTGGCCCCCAAAGGGCTCAAGACCCACAGTTAGAGAACCACTGCCCAAGAAAGATTAGGGTACAAATGACATACCTCAACATAATAATGGCAATTTACCACAAACCCATACTCCACATAAACTTAAATGAAGAGAAACCCAAATCATTTCCACTAAAAACAGGACTAAGACAAGGTTATGCTCTCTCCGTATTTATCAATGAAGTTCTAGCTGGAGCAATAAGGCAAGTGAGGGAGATCGAGGGCTATAAATCAGAAGGGAAGAAGTCAGAGTATCTTTATTTGCAGATGGTATGACAGTATACGTAAGTGACGCTAAAATTTCCACTAGGAAGCTCCTATATCCGCTAAGCACTTTCAGCAAAGTAGCTGGATACAAAATTAACACACAAAGATCAGTAGCCTTCCTATACACAAGTGAGAAATGGACCGAGAACAAGATCAAGAAAACAAAACCTTCCACAATAGACTCAAAATATATAAAATACCTTGGGCGTAATTCTAACCATGCAAGTGAAAATGTGAAAGACAAAACCTTTAAGACATTGACGGAAGAACTTGAAGGAGATATCAGATGATGGAAAGATCTCCCACGCTCATGGATCAATAGGATTAATACAGTAAAAATGTCCATCCTACCAAAAACAGTCTACGTATTCATTCAATGCAGTCTCCATCAAGATACCAGCACAATTTTTCACTGAATTTGAGAGTATAATTTATACTTTAGTGGTCCTTCGGGTATATAATATGGCTTTCATTTGTGTGTGTATGTGTGTGTGTTCATGGGATCCCTCTGTGTACAGTCTTGTGTATCTAAGTGTCTGTATCTGTTTCTTGTGCTTTCTATTTTGCTCTTCTCTTTTCCTTGTTGTATTTCGTATTTCAATCGGTTTGTTTTTGCATTCTCTTCCATTGTTTTATCCCTTTGATACCTGTTTTCTAACAGGAGACATAAAAGGGTGTGGATTCTGATAGAAAGAGAGATGTAGAGGGATTGGGAGGGGTTGGGGAGGGGAGAAAGCATAATCAGACTATATTGTATGAAAAGAAACTGTTTCGAATAAAAAGAAAAATTCAATCGAGCAGTTACCCTCAGCTTTTGAGGAATCAATCCATCACCAATACTTAGTTCCACGGCAGAGGAAATCTATGCAAATCCACCTGTCTCGGGGATCCAAGAAGTAGGTCCATTTTGTGTATCTTCCCACATTCAACACCAGCAGCTCACCAATTCATCCCTGAAAAATCCTACCACATCCTACAGTGTCCTCCTACCATATTCTCCAGACTTCTGAAAACAGGACTCGCTATTTCAGATGCCTCAAAGGACACAAGCAGGGTATAAAGAGAAATAGCGTTGGGCATGCCAAACCGGTCTTCCTGCCTCTGATACCCCGATACAAGCTCTTTTCTCATCCTTGATTTCTCCTTTTATTTTTACCTAGAACAGGTTTCCTATTTTATTAAGGTTTTGCTATATCTTGAAAATACTTCAGGTTGGAGAGATGGCTCAGCAGTCAAAAGCACTTGCTGTTCTTAGCAAGCTTGGGTTTGGTTCCCAGTATCCACATAGCCGCTCACAACCATCTATATAACTCAAGTTCCAGAGATTTGATGCCATCTTCTGATCTCTGCAGGCACCAGATTTGATGCATGTAACCCACAGGTATACATGTCGCAGAACACCCATACACAGAAGATAAATCTAAAAAAGCTTAAAAACACGTATAAGATTTAAGCATAAAATCAAGATTAGGTATCTGCGACTTGCCTGTGTACAGAATGCGGCTGATCATCCCTGGCATCACCATGAAGAACAGGGGCAGTATCTTCAGGTACCCACACACTATGCAGGCAGCCTTCACGTGGGACATGTTCTTGCCACATAAGCAGCGCTGTACAATGACCTGCCAGGGAAACACAACGCAGTGAGACAAGCAGAAACTGATGTCTGAGGCGGTGGGGAAGAGACAGAAATCTTTAATAAATAAATAAATTTTAAAAAAAAGCTTCTCCACATTGCTCCCCCCCCCCAAAAAAAAAAAGAAAAAAAAAAAAGAAAGAAACTGATGTCCGAGCTCCCTTTCAGGGTTTAAAACCTCAATAAGAAATTATGGCACTGGTGGAAACTAAGGGGCTTTGGAGGAATACTACGATTTAAAGAACAGTTTAATTTGTATGTTATGTGGCTTCATTCCTCAAGCAGTCTTACCCCTCTTACAACGTTCTGAATATGAGCAATGTATGTAGGACTCGGTACATGGAGGTCAATACATATTAGCTATAGTTATGTTTAAAAGCTCCCAGGAGATGTCTCAGTGGGTGAAAGCACAGGGGCCCACGTTGGGGTCCACAGAACCCACCCCACGCAAACCCGGGGAGGTGGCATGTGTCTGTAGACCCTGTGCTCTTATGGTCAGTGGGGAACAGAGATGGGAAAATCCTTGGGAACTTGCTGACCAGCTAGCCTGGCATATGAAGCAGTGACCAAGAGACCCAGATGGAATGTGAGGGGGGACTGAAACCTGTGACAAGCACATGCCTATATTCATGAGACTGCATAGTGTCCAGGTCGCATTAGATAGTTCTAGTAGTAGTAATACAGACACATGTTGTGTTTTAGGCTGTGAATCGAATATCGCGGGCATCAGCAGAATCTTCCTACTATTATGAGGTAATTGACTCTGGCTAGTCACACCTGTATGTTTTTATATGAGATAAGAAGAAGCAGCAAAAGTCTTCCCCCTCCCCACCCCCACACAAGCACCCACACACTTAATCACTTACCTGGTCTGTGCACCAGTACCACATAGCCGTAATAATCATTCCAAATGCAGTTCCCGGCCATGGAATGTCTCCAGTGACAGCATCTCGGAAGATGTGGAAGGAGTCCGGCTGAGGAGTGTAGCACTTGGAGCTGATGGTCAGGTTGTCCCCCTGGATTACAGAGGGGATGGCGTTCATGTACTTCTCTGTGAAGCTCTCATAGCCTCCGACTTCAATAAATGCTGCAAAGACATCAGAGAAATGAAATGTCTCCTGCACAGTGCAACAGCTACTGTTTATGATAATCCCCTGACATGCAGCTCTTGCAAACCTCAGTGACCTCTCTCCTGATATTCATCCCAATCACAGCTTCCCACCCCTCCCCTGCACTCAGTCGCCCCTCACAAACCTTCCTCTCCCTCAGGTCATCTACCCATCTATTTCTCTTCAGAGAAGAGCAGGCCTCCCAGGGATATCACTCAATCATGGCTTACCAAAATACAGTAAGTCTAGACACAAATGCTCACTCATATCAGGACTGGACGAGGCAACTCAGTAAGAGGAAAAGAGACCTATGGTTAGGCAGAAGAGTCTGAGAACACCCCATTTTAATAGATTGTTATAAAAAATAATACAACTGGTTAATAGTTATTAGAAACTGTCTAATACTTAATCCTCTATTTAGTGAAAGGTCTAGATAAATCAAAAGGTTTTTATTTTAGTAAGCTTTTGTTGTTTGAAATGGATTATTTTGGGGTTTTTGTTTTGTTTTGTTTGTTTGTTTGTGGCTTCAAACTCAGAGATCCCTCTGCCTTTGTTTTCAGAGTACAGTGCTGGGCTTGAGGGCCTCTGCCTCCTTCGCAGAGCTGTTTTTTGAAATTGAAACATTATTTTCACTCTTCTCTATATTCCTCTCCAATCCCTCCCCTGTACCCATCTCCCCTCTCAAATTCATAGCTTTTAGGTCACAAACCAGGTCCCTAAATGGCATTGCTAACAATGTCCCAAGAGGAGAACTCAGGCCCAACCCAGTCTGGTTTTTACTGGATAAACATAAGAATTTATGCCAGGTAAACAGAAACCTAAACTCAGCATTCCTCAGAAAACTCCATAATTTGGGCTTCTGTTTGTCAGGAAAGTCATTGCTTCTTTTCTCTGCCCTAACGGTCAACTGATGGGCAAAGTGTATCTGGTTTTGATTAACCACAACAGTCCGCACCAGCTCAAGGACCAACATCCTGCTGACTGCCACAGAAAATTCACCTGTTTTCCTGCCGAACCGCCGCTCTCTATTCCCGTGAGATAACCTGGCAGGTTGTTCCCCCAATAAACTGTTTTCTACCCGCAGAGTGGTCTAGTTAGGGGTTCTGCTGCATTCAGCTTACAATGGCCCCTTCTACTTTAATACTTACTACCTTACTGATACAACTGTGACAGAGATCAAAGGCTCTGATACTTTCAATCCAACGCACCAGTGTTCCACTCAGGTTATCAACCAAGGGGTTTCATCCATTCTGAGCACAGGGCAATGGAGGTTAAATATCACAGTTAACCAGAGCAATATTTTAGAGGAAACAAAACTCACTCATTTCCTCTTTTTGATAAAATAAAGCAAGAAAGAAGCTAGGCAAACATCCCCATGGTGGGAATTATATACATGAAAAGAAAATATGACCCAGGAGAGTTTGAAGGAAGCAACAATGAACGGACGGATGGAAACGAGAACCTAGGGGTCTGTGGATGCAGTCTCAGCTTACCAAACACCATGAGGATGAAAGATCCAACCAGCATGATAATGGCCTGGAAGGTATCAGTGTAAATCACAGATGCCAAGCCACCTGTAATAATAAAGAAAGGAACCAGCCTTTAATTTACATGCACTTATGTATTTGCCCTGAGAGCTGGCTTCTCCTCCAGTCCAGCTGTCTAAAGAAACGTTAATATCCAAAGCCCCTGGCTGCCAGCAGTGAGTCCAGCTACCTGGGAGGTTGAAGACAAAAGGTTGTAAGCCTCAAGGTCCTCTGAGGTCCAGAGTCAGTCCAAGGACAGACTGGGCAGCTTAGACTTTGTAACCAGAAAACAAAGCAAGATAATGAAAAGACTCCTGGCTGACTCACAAGCTTGACTCTTAGTTTGAGATTGGGTCTTATTCTGTAGCCAAGGCTGACCTTGAATCTCTATGTTGGCCATGCTGGTCTTGAACTCCTGGCAATCCTTCTGCCTCAGTAAACCTGTTCCCACAGCATTATCTCCCTAGTATGTTCTGCTCTATCTCTAGCCAGAGTCTTTTTAAAATTCTGTTTTCTCTTCCCTTTTCCCATCTCCTCTCCTCCCCTCTCTTCTCCTCACTTCCCCTTCACTTCTCCCCCTCCCTTTGTCTCTTTCTTGTCAGGACCTTACTCTGTAGCCCAGGTTAGCCTTGAACTCTCAACCTTCCTGTCTTAGCTTCCTTAGCTCTTAGGGATAATGGAACAGGAAACCATGCATGACTCTTGCATCTGTCTGATACAAAGTTTCTCTTACAGTGTAGCTTCACTGTTATGCTTAATTATAAATATTAAGTAGAGGAGAGGGCAGAATTTTAGTATCGCATTAGTTTTCCCTAATAATCCTCCGGTTTCTCCCATTTACCTCTTCCTTGTGCAAGGCCAGCTAGCAAAACCATTTTTTGCTCTAGTGTAGGAATATATCACGGTTTTCTTAATTGAATACCTTATTCAGTGCTTATATTTTCCTCAATAAGACACAGGCACAAACACATAAACACATCCACGGGTGGGATCACCAAAAGGTTGCACAATTCAACCAAGGATCCCGAAGACTCACCCGTGATTGTGAAAACAGCCGTGATAGCCAAAAGGATGAAGATCGCCAGGTAAAGGTCCAACCCGAAAGCCAGCTTTATGAATATGGCTCCAGAAAATATATTGGACTAGAAAAGGAACAGTGAAGATGGAGAAGCGTGCATTTCAGGTCTCTGGCTTCTGTTTTTAAGGTTCAATGCCCCATCCTCGTCCCGGTGAACTCCTATTCACCCCTGAAGATGCTACATAAATAATCGTAGGAAGAAAGGCAATTTCTCTCCCCACTTTCTTCATTGCTCCATTGAGGCACTTATTAAAGAAGATGCCATGGCCTGAGGATTCTCTGTACCGTGGGCATTAGGGACAGTCTTTAGTTACCTATGGGAATCTCTGACTCTGATGGAATAAAACATAAACTCCTTTTTTTTTTTTGGTTTTTCTTTTTTTTAATATTTTATTTATTAAGTATACAATATTCTGTCTGCATATATGCCTGCAGGCCAGAAGAGGGCACCAGATCTCATTACAGATGGTTGTGAGCCACCATGTGGTTGCTGGGAATTGAACTCTGGACCTTTGGAAGAGCAGGCAATGCTCTTAACCACTGAGCCATCTCGCCAGCCCTTTTTTTTGGTTTTTCGAGACAGGGTTTCTCTGTGGTTTTGGAGCCTGTCCTGGAACTAGCTCTTGTAGACCAGGCTGGTCTCGAACTCACAGAGATCCGCCTGCCTCTGCCTCCCGAGTGCTGGGATTAAAGGCGTGCGCCACCACCGCCCGGCCCATAAACTCCTTTTCAAAATGCGTGTAGTGTGTATGAGTGATGTGTGCGTGCGTGTGTGTAGAAGGCAGAGGAGATGCCAGATATCCTGCTCCATCATTTGCCACCTTACTTCCTTGAGACAGGATCTTTCAGAGAACTACAGGTAGGCAGGTGGCACACAAGCCCACTGTTCTTGATTTCCCCTGCCTTGTCCCCCACTCTGGACCTATGGGAGAGTTTGTGTACTGTGGAACAATCGTTCTGTACACCATGAACCTTTGTTGTTCTCACTGGTTTAATAAAGGAATAACTGACCCATAGCTAGGTAGGAGAGGACACTGGGAAGAAAAAGGGCGTGGTCGTGGGAGTCTCTAGGAGATGCAGAGGAAGCAGGAGATGAACTATGCTATGCTGAAAAAAGATGCTGCCATATGGCAGATAATAAATATTGGTAAATTTAAGATGTAAGAGCTAGTTAGTAATAAACCTAAGCTAATGGCTGAGCATTTATAACTAATAATTAGTCTTTGGGAGCTGACTTGCAGGATAGAACTGACTGATGGAACAGAGAAAGTCTACCTACACACATGACCATGTCTGTATTGCTGCTTCAATGCTAGGCATTGAAACTCAGGTCCTTATGCTGGCACAGGAAGCATTGCTACCCATGGAGTGTTTGCTTTTATTTTATCTTTTCTCTTCTTCTTATTTTAGATGCCCGTTTTATTCCAATGAGAGAGGAAATAAAGGGTGTGGGTGGGAAAGTGGGAGCATCAGAGAAGAGTTGGGGGAACGGAAACCATAACAAGAATACATTGTGTAAAAAAAAAATCTATTTTCATTAAAAACAATAAAATTATGGGTGGGAAAATTAACTAACTAGTTAAAAAATAAAGTCATGAAAGGTCTTGAGAAAAAGGGAAAACAATGAAAAAGAAACATTTCTAATAAAGAGGGAATTTTAATAACAGGATTTTCTTTTGCTAAAAGAGAGCATTTTGGAACAATTGCTAATATCTTGGTTCACTTCCCAGTTTTGTTGTTTTCCAGCAGAGCAGCAACAGTTCTGAGGTCCGAAATGAAGTACCTGGGGATGACAGACATTTACCCACTAACGAGCCTCAATGTTTACGCTGCTGGAGGTTGAAACCTGAGATCAACCTTTCCTCAATCCTGCCAGGGGAGATTCCACAAACTCTTCCATCTTCAGTTCTTGTAATGATTTGTTTAATAAGTAGCCAAGATATAATTGGCTATCGATGTGTGTGCGTGTATAAACAGACATGTCTAAGGTTAATCATTCTTTATATCACTCTAGAGGTAACCTTGCAGGTACACAAGGACGGCTGCTGTGCCGTCAGCGGATTACAGATACACATGGAAGACACTCACGTGTCGATTCCTTGCACCCCACCCGGATTCCCCAGATTCTACTCCTTATTTACCACCCAGAGCTAAGCCCTCCAGAAGGCCACATCCCTCCAGGGTTCCTTTAACTGATGCCCTTCTGTTTCGGCACACACTCACGATCTTTGGAACCACAAAGCTGTGGATGTCTGAGGGGACCTCAGAGATTAGCAAGTCCTACCCACTTGTAGAACATGTAAACACAAAGTCTCTGGCACCAAGGTGTTCTTCTGCTCCTTCTTACCTTCCCACCTCAGGGACTGTGTAAATGAAACGTCATTCCAGTTCAACCTGACAGGAGCTCCCACCTTTCCTGGTTGTGCGGGGCACACCTTCTGCTTTTATATTCAAAAGTAGTCAAATATTAATGCGTAAGTCCTCATCTTCCTGGTCTTTGGCAACTCCCGTTGCTTGGGAATCTTTGCTAACATCAATCACAGCTCAATACGGGTAGCAATGCTCACACGGCTTTAGGAAAGCCCCGACCGAGCACCTGGGCCCAGCGGCTGGTTCCCTTGTAACTAACGCAGTCCAACAGGAGAGCAACAACAAAGGCGACTTTTCTGTCCTAAACACCGACACACGTGCCTGCTTTAACTGGGCATCGATACATAGGAACACATAAGCTACTCTTTCTTCGCACGCTGCTCAAAGTTCAAATGCCTCTTGTCTCCCATCAGGGATAAGTTCTGAGGCATAATCATTTTAGCCACTCATTTATGATACAAGTTTTACAAGGACAGTCTTTGATAAGGCAAACTTAAGTAGGTTTAATAATACAAAGTACGTCTCTTCTTATTTGATAATTAAACTGAAAAAAAAAAGTCAGAGCTGGCTCGGAGAAATTAAGGAAGTTACTGCGCCGGACAACTGGGCAAGGCACAAGCCAAGAGGGCTCTGTAGGAAGCAGCTGCTATTACTCGCGTGACTGACATTTGCTCTGGCCACACCTGCATTTCGACAGGTGGAGTGCTTTAGAGGGTGGATCTGTACTCTTGTGGTTCCCAGGACGTGAAAGTCAGCTGCTCTAGTCGTGTGGAAGTCCTGAGCATTTTCCCACCCAGGAAGACTTAGGAAAGAAACCCCAGGAAGTTTGAGTCAACTGGGAGTTTTATCCACAGCCTCTACACACTAGTCTCCGACTTTAGCAGCTGGTCCCAACAGGCAAACTGTGGAATCTCCAATGCCAGGAGGCAGGGCACTCACTGGGATATTCAGAATCACCGAGATGAAGAGGGAGAGGACCGAGAGGTAGATCTGGAGCCGCTGCCCACCGAACCGCTTCCTGAGGTATTCCGGCATGGTCATCACCTAAAAAGAGAAGACAACAGGAATTCACCTCGAGCCCAGTGCATTCGGATGATTTGACATTTTCTAAATGACTTCAGGCAGCTAAGCACTATGCATGGATCCCGGGGATACAGAGGCGGGAAAGACACGATTCCTCTGTATAGTGACAGTTCTGGAATGAAATCAAGCGCTGGAGGCAGAACGGCAATCTCCTCCCGACTCTGACGTTTACTGTGTATTATGACACTTTTGGCAAATAAAGAAGAGAATTAGCACAAAGGTATAAAGCACCTACAGCATTCCCAAATACCTGAACGACACTGAACAAATCATTTTTATTATATTTACCAGCAATTCTGCAGTACAGCAAAAGTAATATTTGTAAATTATAAACCGTAATATGATTATATAACACATTGATTATTGAGAATATTGTAAGCATGCATTTGAGCATGCATTTATATGATTCCCTTTATTGAAAATAAGATTTACATTAAGTCTGAGCTTAGAGAAAAACCTTAACTTTCCTTACTGAAGTAAGAGATTGCTCATGGAACACCTAGAATAAGCATACAGCTTTCTGTATTTTTCAGAGTGATTGGACTCATTATTTAATCTTCTCTGATATAAAAATACATTAATAAACACACATACATTTCTTTTGTCAAAAAAAAGAGGGATTCTTAGCAGACCACCAATGGAGAGCAGCCCTGGAGACATGGTAAGCTACAGAAAAGAATAGACATACATCTTCTGGGGCATGCGCTCTTGAACCAAGGATAGCATCTTTCAACAGGGGTATCAGGAATAAATACATTTGCCATCTTCTGCTGATGTGCAAAGGAGGGGCTCTTTACCCAGGGTGTCTCTTCACGGACGCAATCCCCAAAGCTACACACGACTCTGAATCAATGTTTCCAAAGAGCAGGATGCTCATATTAGTTCTCAAACAGATCTCCTTCCTGATCAACCTGCACATATCTGCATGTCTGTCCTATAGACACACACACACACACACACACACACACACACAGCTCCTCTGTGACTTCATTATCATCCTGTTCTCTATCTCTCCTCCAGCCCTGTAGTTCTTGCTCTATCTATAGAGAACTTGTGCATCCTGATCCCCAAAACTTCAAGACTTCAAATTGCTTGCACCACCTTTACCTCTAGTCTGCTAACAAACATGTCACAGGTATCTAAGAAGTGGCTTCCCTTCCTCTGTTACCTCACTTTGGATGGTATGAACTTTTAATTTATTAAACTTGTTGTATAGCCAAGCTCCTCATCTTTCTGCTTGTGCTTCCTAAATCCCGGTATTACAGACATGCCCTACCATTCATAGACAAGATTTCATGAACATTTTTGTTTATATATATATGTATGTGTGTGTGTGTGTGTATGCATGTGGAGCTCGGAGCACACTCATGGGTGTTGTCCCTAAGGTACCATCTACCTTGTCTTTTTGAGACAGGGTCTCTTAATGGCCTGGAACTTGGTGATTAGGCTAGGCTGCCTATCTAGGAAGCCCTAGGGATGTGCTCATGTCTGCTTCCTCTGTGCTGGATTACAAGCACGTGCTATCATGGGCATTATTTTTACATAGGTGCTGCAGATCAAGCACTTCACTGGCTAAGCTCTTGTCCCAGCCCAAGATTGCATGAACTTTTGTTCAAGTCCATTGTCCATTCAGATCCCCAAGTTAAACTTCATAAATGGAAATCTGATTACAACCCTTGAATCCTTGAAAGCTCTGCACTTCCCATTTCTAAGAAGATATAGAACACTTCAAAGTTTTATTAAATTTGTTTATTTTTCTGTGTACGTGAATATATGTATATATACACACATATGTACACACACATACACACACACACATATACCTAGGTGTACACATGGAGGTCAGAGGAACACTTCCTTGAATTGATTTTCTCCTCCTTGGGACTGAACTCAGGCGATCGGGCATGGCAGCAAGTGCCTTTACCTACTGAGACATCTCTCTTATCCTAGGACACTCTTTTGTAAATGGCATCATCACTTTAAAATTTAGCCATTATACTAAGTATATATTAACTTCATAATTGTAATTTTATTTTATGTGTATAAGTGTTTTCTTACATACATGTCTGTGTACAGTGCCTGAGAACATCAGAAAACAGTGTTGGAGCCACTGGGACTGTGTGTGTCAACTCCTTTAGCCAATAGCCTTTAAGATACTGGCCCAGTCTGGGTATGGCCACATGTATTATGCATACAGATATAGAACATGCACAGCCCCTTGGCTGCTGGGTTTGGTTCCTGTTCCCCACACATGCAGAGAACTGCTGATCTGTGAGTCTACTCTAAATAAAGAGACTTTTATTATACCCCATTCTGAGCTAGTGCGGGATTACTTTATTATAATCAGCGGTACGACTGGAGTTACAGATAGTTGTAAGCTACCCTGTGGGTACTGCAAATTGAGTCTGAAGCTTGTGCCCTTACCATTGAGGCAATCCTCAAGCCACTATACCATTGTGCTTATATTAGCACGTTTTAATTATATAAAGCAATGGGTATCACTGTGACAGTTTTGCGTGCACACAAGCACACTTTGACCGTGTCCACTCTCTTACTTTCTCTGGCCCCCATCCCCTCTTGCACGGCTTTATTCCTCTTTGCAGGTAAACACACACTGGGACTTTCACAGCTGAGCCCACCCCCACTCTGCCACCTGACACCTCTACTTCCCACCACTCTTCTCCACATAACCCTCTAATTAGTCTTCATTTTACCCGACCTCCAAATGTTCCCAGAAAGAAAGATTTTCAGCTTCCATATACTTATTCTATCATCCAATTTTCCTACCTGAAGAAGTCAGCCTTATCCCCCAATACCTAAGCCAGGCCACAACTGAAACACTTCTCTTAGGACATGCCCGTGACCCCAGCTTTGCTCCCGACTCGGACCTGGAATTTACCTCGCTGATCATTAGACAGGGCCACCATTAACCTGGCAACAGACATTCTATACTGTGGACCCTATGGGCAAGCAATTTGATATATTTTCTGTACATTATCAGCAATAGGACTAATGAGGGCCAAACACCCAGGTTTAACGATTTAACATAAAGAACAAGTGGGTGGATAAATACATCGGATACTCACCCCTGCCTTGATGTAGATGGGCACAAAAAACCACCCCAGGAGCAGCAACAAGAGGAACGACTGTAAGAGACCAGGAGCAGCATTAAGTTAAAGGAGCTTGGCTGGGGCCCTGCACAAACAAACCTCTTCTCTTGGTTCCTGTCTAATATACTACTTATATAATATAATATCTAATATTTGGCAGAACAGGCAGAGGATGAGAGTGTGAGTTCACCTGGACTAAGAAAAGGTTGTGTAAGCTTTGTCAAAGACAATGAGCTTACATGGGAGAATTACACACGCGTGCCAAAGCGCGGAGGAAAAGAACTTTGGAAAGGGAAGAACATCCGCAGGTCCCTTTAAGTCTTGCCAAACATAGCTGGTGCTACAGACGGGAATTAAAGTACAGTTTTGTGATGTCTCTACACACAGCTCCACTGTTCTTGCCTTACCTAGTGAGGCAGGTCTAATGGGCAGTGTTACCATTAACACCATGAGGAAAGATGTAAGCTTCCTCAAGATGAAAGAAATGAGAGGTTGGAAGCTACAGAAACAGATATCTGCAATGTGATAGCAATAAGCATTGGGGTACGGGTCACTTTCTTCATGCCTGTGGAGGCATCCTTCATTGTACGGTTCATGGCACCATCAGATCAATTCCCAGGCCACAAAGCATATAGAACAATTTCTGGATACGTTCCTGATATTTCTGAGGCAAAAATAGGCAAAAACAAAACAACCTTCAGCGTTGGAAAGGCAGATGCATTTGTGAGTGACCCAAGGTCACTTCTTGAGTCTGGTTAGGGTGGTTTGTTTAAAATTGCACCGTAGTCCCACTTGGTTTATACAAAAACACCAGAAAGGATAAGATAGAAGCCTGTGGGAGCTTATTTGGAAAAAGTATTAGCCTCATATCCAAAGTTTAATCCCCAGAGACCACGGTGGCGCAAACAGCAGACTCCTGAACCGCGTGCTCTGACTTGTGCTGTGGAGAAGAGAGAAAGCGCAGGCTCCTTGAGCTGTGTGTGATGCTCTCACCACGTGCCTGGCTGTGCGCTGGAGTGGTGTGTGGGTGCAGGGAATCCATGTTCTCAGCTCTTAAGAACTCGGGGTCTAGTTAAGGGAGGCTGTCTCTGCAGAATGGTAACAAGTCAGCCGTAAAATCCTATAGGTTTGGTATGTCATCTTTCAAAATGTTCATTCCTTATCGCAGAGCCACTGCCTCCTCGGGTCTCACTTGGGTTTCTGTTCATCCTCTGCCACGAGCATCCGTAAACGCTCATGGTATCCACTGACAACCTCCATTGTCTATGATGGACCACAGCTCCTGTGTGGTGTCTCTTCTAAACTTGTTTTTGAGAATTGCCTATGCATACTGTCATCCAGTCAATTGCTATTCTCTCCCCAACTCCTCCTCCGCCCCTCACTCCCTCTCATGACCTATTTTCTTTCATTATTGGTTTGTGTGTGTGTATGTGCGTGTGCGTGTGTGTGTGTGTGTGTGATCTACTCAGTTCATGGCTGGAATGTATATGTGTTTAATGCTGACCCCTTGGCACTGTTTCACATACCATGGGGAAAAAGCCACAGGGAAGCATTTACACGGTGTGATCTCTCAATACGGCACATGCTCCTGTCTCTGCTTTCCGCTCCAGTCAGTGCACGCTTGTCTGTCTCACGTGATCATGAGCTGTGCCAAGTAGGAGATATTGCTCTTCCTGCTATTTGTGTATTTATTTTGAGACAGGATCTCACTGTGTACTCTGCCCGGTATGTAACTCACTAGAGTAGATCAGATTGATCTCAAATTCACAGAAACCAGCCTGCCTCTGCCCCTGCCTCTGTCATCCAGTGCTAGGATTAAATGCCAAATGCCTGACCTACTAATTTACCTTTCAGTGTGTCTATGGTATGCACATTTATGTGCCTAGGGTTGCACACTTACATGCAAAGGCCCACGGCTAATGTTTGAATTCCTCCTCAATTGTTCTTACATATTATTCTTTTTTTTTTTTTTTTACATCTTATTCAAACAAGCCAAAAGCTCACAGACGTGGCTAGTCTCGCTAGACAAATTGACAAATTCCTTGTCTCTACCACTGAGGCAGATAGGCTGCCGTGTCTGCTCAGTGTTCTCATGGGACCTGGGGATCTGAACTCGGTCCTCTTGCTTGTGTGGCAGGTGTATTAAATACCTGAAAGACTCTGCCCAGCATGTTTTCTCTTACTTGTAATCTTTGATTCTGGCTCAGGAATGAATATACAGTGTGACATCTCAGAAAAGAGACATAAGCGCTCAAACAGTCAAGGGACCAAGTGTAAGTGGGGCTTGAGCTACACAAACATGAAATCCCTGGTAGGACTAACTACTTATGAAATGTACGAGGCTTCAGAAGTGCTCAAAGACAAAGACTGGACTAGTTGAGGAGAAAGTAAAAACCAGAACAAAAGTAGTTCATCCGATCCAGACTTCCAGGAAAACCAGGGATACATACCTGGTTGAAAACAGCCAGACATAAAATTGACTTAAAAGGAAAATACATATATAATTTCTGTCACTTACGTGTGATTCAAATGCTGTCACGGCGATTCCTGAAGCTGCACCTGTCCCAGCCAGGCCCACAAAGTGGCCACTGCCAATGTTGCTTGCAAACATGGAGGCACCCATCTGCAAGGAAAGCAATCAGACCAATGTTAGATTCAGAAAATTGGAAACAGATGAGTGTTGTGATGTTTCAGTCGCTACTTCTTGGAGGAAAAACAACATAGAATTGTGTACAGACGGAATCTAGCTTGGTAGCAGTTATTCTGTGGCCCATTGTGAGCAGTTACAAATGGTTTTTAAGGATCTAAAGAGTGAGTCATGCAAATTTGCAATTAGGTGAAATTTAAAGTTCAGTGTCCGTCCCTCATACTGGTGCTGGGACACAGCCGTCAGCTTCGTATGCCACAGCACCCCATGGCAGGTGGTTTGGGGGCCAGCAACATTGCTGTGCGGTCATAATAGACTCTGACCTTCCAAGTACAAGATACTTACAGTTAGGCCATTTATAGAAAATGCCTGACGAACCCTGCCTTATGGAAACATCAGAAAATCCTTCTATGTGTTCTGAGTGGAGCCTCAAACTTCCAGATCTCCGAATAGCAACTTGACTCTTGAGTTGGTAACAGACTCCCAAGTTGCATCCGAGGGAATTCTCTCTACCCTCCCGGCCGTAGCACCCCGCTCCTTAGATGCATTTTCCGTAACACTGGTTTCTGTCATTGAAGTTCAAAATTGAGGCGAGCGCTCGCTCGTCAATGGGCAGAGACTAGCAGGAGCCCTGGGAACAGAATTAGAATGTGAGGTCCTGCAGGGCTGTCTTTGCCTCTATTGTCCCTCTTACAATCCCTCTTTGTAAGAAGGTGTTTGGGGCCGGGGAGGAATGGAGCTGGTTTGCAACTCTAGGATTAGTTGTGAATTGCAGCTTTCACAAAGAGAGTAGCGGGAAGGCAATATCTGCTTGGTTGTATTCCCAAGGAAAACTGTTCCTACCCTACCCACCAGATTGCTTAGTAATTCTAGTTCCTTGTATGGAATTTAGACAAGGCAGAAGATCTCTTGAAGGGAACATTTTCTGAGCACTCACTGTGTGCTAACCCAGATCTGACACTCTCTCGGTTCACAGAGGAATATCCTGCCTCTACTGCAGTGGAAAAATCTGGCTGAGTAAGTCAGATACCAAAATTCAGAAAACATATCTGGTGGGCAGCTGTCCAAGAGCGTAACTGTGGAAACACCACCACAGTGGACACCGACTGCATCAGCAAGTGTGCAGCCGAGAAGAACACCGTGTTCAAGGCAGGACTGCAGTGATCAGGAAATGAGCTGGCACTGCCGTGGACGACAGAGAAAACAATCTCCCAGAGAGGAGCAGATTAGCTCAGGACTGGGCGCAGAAAAGAAGTTCAGAGAGCTAATGGGAGCTAAGAAGGTTTTTCATGAGAACCAAGTAGAGACACATGGAATAGAACTGAGTGGTAGGTCTCCTAAGGCTAGACCAAAGCTGCTCTAATGGATTATATGAAATGCCAGGTTTCCAAAGGCTAGACCAAAGCTGCTCTAATGGATTATATGAAATGCCAGGTTTCCAAAGGCTAGACCAAAGCTGCTCTCCATGGATTATATGCTATGATCTCTCTGGGATCCCAAGTCACAGTCTTAAAGTGGAGGGTTTATTAAAGAAAACAAAGCATGTTGGCAGGTACCCCTGCCAACATCACAGCTTGTCCTCAATGTGTATCTCCCGAAGCCTCTGACCCACTTACTGGCCACCAGGTCATAGCTCGACCTGCCAGGAAGAAGCCGCCAACAGTGCTTCGGTTCGTCTTCAGCATTGCCTGAGCAGAAAGGAAACCATCGGAAGGTTAGAGGCAATAGGTGCCCCCCCCCGAAGATCAAGGGGACCCCCAGCTCTCCACACAGCTCACTGACATTGATATATCACCATTCCCACAGGGAGACATGCTTTTCTAGACAGACTAACACAGCATCAGTTTTTGATGGACATAAAAGTCTTGAAGACTCAGAGGGAGAACTTCAAGAAGTTATATTCAAAAACCTGATATTTAGTTTAGCTTATGAAAAAAATATTACTTGTCTCTAAATCTGTCTTTGGAAGAAGATTTTGAGCCTCAGATTCAATACCGAAAAGAAAGAATGAACAGGATACAAATGGTCTAAACTTCTCACTCAGTAAGTGAGAAAATAAATACAGAGAAAAGGGAAGTCGTTAAAATGAGATAACAGAAACGGCATTTGTGGTTTTGATGCCCGGTGCTGGGCACGCCAAGCAGAGCAGGCACTCAGCCCTGGTTCTGCCGGGAGAAGAGGCTCATTCAGGGCTAACATGATTTGTGCCGCACGCAAGCAAATTATTCAGACAGAGAGGCAACGAGACTTGGAAAATCATCGTCCCAACTCATCATTCTACACATCTACTGAGAAGACATGTTTTCCCACGCAGTCTTAGTGTCCACCCAGAAATCCCATGTTCTCCCACTTACTCCCAGCATGAGATGTTTTCCCCTGCAATTTTTGTGCCCTCCCAGAAACCTCGCTGGACTTTCACATACCCATATTCCAACAGCTAGCACCACCACAAAATAGATGACAATGACAGAGATGTCAGCTGCATTGTTGATGTTCTGGGACAGAGAAGCCAGGTCTGAGCTGCCAGTGCTCACACTGGAGCTTACGGTGGTGGCCATGGCTGTAGGCAGTGCCTGTCCCCATTGCAAGCACTGGCGCTTCTTTATATATATATACATATATAAGTAGTACGTTAATGATCAGCCTCGAGTAGGAGGGGAAAGATATCAGAGCCGGCTTCTGTCCACAGAAGACCTTTAAACCCCTCCTGTGTGGCCAGGCTTTCATCTTACAGTGACTAGTTCTGGCGTCAGTGGAATTTGGAAACCAAGGAGAGAAGCCAGAAATAGTGAGAATTGGAGGAGGAAAATGATATGGCAAGTATTTAAGAAAGAAAAGAGTATTTAGGAAAACCGGCCAGCAAGAGGAAACACAACGGGAAGATAAAGGAAAATAAGGGAATTGAGATGTAAAGAGAACAGGACACAGTCAGGTGGGACACATGGTACAGGTTCCTTCTCAAACATGAAATTCCTGGATAAACTTGTCCCTTGAATTACCTAGAATGGGTGGTCTAAGTGGACATCATAGGTCACATCACGACCCCAGCAGCAGGTGCAGAAAGGGCAAGTTGCTCCACCCTTGCCATGTACAGAAGGGTGTGGGCAGGGCTGGAGGGCGGGTGAGTCAGAGGCTCTGAGGAGTGAATGAACGGACAGCCACGTGCTGGTGATCCTCATGGCTCAGGATCCTGGCTACTCTGAAGACACCTGCTTGACATTAGAAGCAAAGTCTCAGCATTCTCCTCTGTGGTTGTATATTTAAAATACGAGCCATAAAACTTACCTCTGTCAAATGTAGAAGCTGACAAAGATCTCTTCCCCCGTCCTATAGGCTGTCTCTTCAATCCCCTTCCTCCTGCTGTGCAGTTGCTCTTTCATTTCTTGAGTTCCCCTTTGCCTGTTGTAGGCCTCTCTACCAGCTGAGCGGAGCCCTATGCAGTAATCTTTACCCAGGTTCCTGCCTTATAGTCTCTCTTCCGTTTTCCTCCAGCATTTCAGACTTTCATGTCTTAGGTTGAGGTCTTTGATCCATTTGGACTTGATTCTGTGCAGGGTAAGAGAGATATGGATCTAGTTTTATTCTTCTGCATGTGTAATTCAGTTTCCCCAGCACTATTTAAAGAAATTAGTAATTTTTTCCTACAATGTATTATGATCATATTCTTCCCCCCCCTTAGTTGTTCATTCACACATTTCTAGTCATCCAACTCTGTGTTTTCTCCCTCTCTGTCTCTCCATCGCTCTAAAAAAAAAAAAAAAGAGTAAAAAAAAATCAGGAAAAACAAATAGAAAAACAAAACAACAAAACAGAGTCCATTTTGTTTTGAGTTGTGGCCGTGGAGCCTGCCCTGCCGTGTGGTTGATACACCCAGTGGCACTCCGTTGGAGAAACTCCCTTTCCTTCCCAGAAGGTACCAATTGCCAATGGCTTCAGAGTTAGGGACAGGACTTTATGTCTATTTCCCTTCTCAGTGCTGGGCTTTTGTCTGCTTTGTCCTGTGCAGGTCTCGTGAGCGCTGTCGTCTCTGCGGATCTGTTGTGACCATTGTTACGGCATTCTTCTCCCTCATCCACACTTGTAATTCAAAGGTTTAGGTTTTTACAACAGTTTCCCACATTTCCTGTATGTTTATTTTGCACGTTTTTTTTTAAAGATTAATTTTTCAGGTTCCCTCTCTATTGGTCTAGATCCTGCCTACTTTATCTTTGAGTCTTGATAGTTTATCTTTGGCTTGGTTCATTCTGCTTCTAGGTCGGTCTTTTCTTTGAGTTTTATAGTTCCGTTGTTGGGTTTCCGACTTCATCTTCCTTTCAGTCCCAGTTCTACAGGGTTTCTGTCTCCTGACTGGATTTTGTTCTCGAGTGCTGGACTGTCTTCATCACCTGCATCAACCCTAAGCTTCTGTTTTCCTGGGCGCCACCTGAGCACTGTTCTCCATAAGTTCTTTTTCCTTAATTTCTTTTAGTTGTTTCTTTGTGTCTTCATCAAACTCCTTGACTCCTCTGATGGAGTTTGTAATTGTGCTTTTAAATTCTTTGTCTTGGGGTTCATCTAGGTCATTCTCACTGGCAAACACTTCTACAGGACTGGTAGGTTTTTAGGAGAAGATACGGGCTCAATCCTTCACATTGTTGGTATTTTTGTGATGAGATCCGAGCCTGTGGACTTCTTTGGTTAGTTCCTGGTTTGATAAGGACACAGCCGGCTGGGGAAGAAGAAAGGCTGTGCAAGCTGGTCTCGCCTAGAAATTGGAAATGGCATGGGTGAAATGAAGTAGGGGTGGACAGAGGAGACTGGCTGTATCTCCTGGTCTAACCCTATGGTTCCCTATGGTTACACGTGATGGTATGGTTACACGTGATGGTATGGTTCACGAGTCGGGCAAGGGGCTGAGAGACTGAAACACACACACACCACACACACACACCACACACACACACACACACCAGAGAGAGAGAGAGAGAGAGAGAGAGAGAGAGAGAGAGAGAGAGAGAGAGAGAGAGAGAGAGAGGCCATCTTGAAACAAGAATGCCAAGAATGCCGATTTTACTGTGTTTCAGGGCAGCTTATAAAGGGTTCGCCTTGATTAATTGGCCACGCCCTAACTCTCGGGACTTTTCAGCTGCAAGCCCACCAGGAACCACTCCCCTGCCATCAGGAACTCATGAGGGTCTCGTGCTCAGAGCAGCTGCAAGCACGGGAAAACAAGTTGTTTACTCCGGCAGGCAAGGGGTCACAGGAAAATCAGGATCTGTGGGTCTGCAGTCCCCATCAGTCGGGGGAACGGGATGTGGAATCCGGCCTAGATTTGGTGGTTAGGAAGAAGGTGTGGATGATGAGGTCAGAGAAAATCACTAAGTTAGACCTTGGGGAAGGAAGTGAGAGCTTTGGCTGGACAAAGGGTTTGGATGCAGTGCAGAAGGGACCTGGAGTCGGTAGGGCAGGTCCTTGTAGCAGCCTAGAACACGGCTGCAGTGAAGGTGAGGAATGTCCAGAGTACGCCATGTCACCCACTGTGTGTGAGATCTGGGACAGATCCTCCAGTGGGCTGGGGAGAAGTTGTGGATGAGGAGGTCAGGGAGAGTCACTGGGCTAAGAGCCTGGAGAAGAGAAGGATGTGTGAGATCTGGCTGGTGAAGAGCTGAGTGCAGTTCGAAGGGACCCGCGGATGACCCGTTCGATGACCCGTTCATGTGTTTTTAAAGAAAATTCTCACTGATTTACCTTAATAGCAAAATGATCCAGTTCCCGTGCCATGCTGTCCTCAGGATGACAATGGACTAAACCTCTGAAACTGAAAGTAAACCCCCATTAAATACTTTCCTTTATAAGAGTTTCATGGCCGGGCTGGAGAGATGGCTCAGAGGTTAAGAGCATTGCCTGCTCTTCCTAAAGGTCCTGAGTTCAATTCCCAGCAACCACATGGTGGCTCACAATCATCTGTAATGGGGTCTGATGCCCTCTTCTGGCCTTCAGGCATACACACAGACAGAATATTGTATACATAATAAATAAATAAATATTTTTAAAAAAATAACTGAAAAAAAAAAAAGAGTTTCATGGCCATGATGTCTCTTCACAGCAAGAGAACACTGACTAAGACACTGACATACTATGGTCAGGCTGAGTAGGGCAGCCAACCCAGCAACGTCCATAGTTTGGGAAGAACCCTGGCAGCGGGCAAGGCGTGTGCAGTTCTCCCCTCGGAGGTTAGCGCTACCACACTCCAGGTGGAGTTGCTTGTGCCCCATTGACTTTTTCAGAGGAGACCTTAGGGGCACTTCTAGGGGCTGGAATTTCTGTCTACCATGGGCAGCTTCTTATTAAACATTTTAAATGCTACCTTCTTCAGATCTTCAAGAAGTTGGAGGGCCATCATCTGTTAAGTATATCTGATTTTAAAGAAAGTTTACTTAGTTTTAGTTGCAACTATATACAAAAAGATAAATAGATAAAGCTTGTCCTATCAAATAAATTATATCTGTAATTAGAAAGATTGCAATCATAGTTATGAGCACATTAAAGAATTTGAACTACACGTCTAAATTATCTTTAACGACAGTTTACAAACGTTAGTAGCTTTTATAAGATTAAGATTTTACAGTTTTATCTTTGTTAATTTTGAGCCTTAAAAATTGATTAAAGGTTTAACTGCATATCTTTTAACTTAAAAATAAAGCTTTAAGTCGTACTACGGCCACAGAGAGACGGGAAACTTTATTTTCCTGGTGAACCGTTACAGAATGTCACAGTTTCTTGTATGATTCAGTTTATTCAAACAGCCAAGGTTGAACAAACTTAGCAAAGACAAAGAAGTGAGGCAGGCATCTTCAGGTCAGTTATTGTTAACCTGTGTGGAGCTTAGGAATTTCTGTCAAGCATATCTTGTTTATCAACATATGCTGCTCCTTACCTAAGATTTTCTAGAAGCCTGATGTGGAACACAGCAAAGTATAAGCGGTTAGACACACATCTCTAAGTCAGCTTTTGCTAATCTGAATAGACCTTTATAACCTGATGAATTCATACTCCTTTATTTATCAAACATACCTCATTAATCGAACATGTGTTGCTCCTTATCTAGGATTTTCCAGAAGCCTGGTGTTGAACACGGTTAGTAAAGACATAAGTGCTTAGATAGACATCTCTAAGTCAGCTTTTGTTAATCTGAGTAAACTATTATGACCTGAGGAATTTATCAGCCTTATTTTCAATAATACCTTATTCAAACATATACTTTTCCTTATTTAGATTATTTTACTATCAGGACAAAAACCCTCATACAAAAATCCATCCTGATCCAAAGTATCTTGGGGATCTGCTGCTGTCTCCTTAGTCCAAAAAACGATGCAATGATAAACAAAGGGCTCACTATAGCTGAGAAGTTTTATAAATGCCGCCTCGCTCGGTTTATAGCACTTGGCCATTCTATCAAGATGGTTTTGCAGCTACATGGCATTTACTCTCTTTTAACCATAGTAAAGATGGCTACCAGTCACATGGTCGCTTCCATCCTGATGGGGTCATCAGCCAAATTGGAGGCAAGTCACATGATTGCTATTGA